TCAAATCAAAATTTGGCTTCCAAAAAAGCTTTTAAGTGCTCTAATTAATGCTCTAAACATATCAATCAGCAGGTGCTACTGTGCCCTTAACATGCCTACAGAATGATCAAAAGATTTGTTTGAAAATGTGGTAAGAAAATGGATTTCACAATAAAACCCAAAAGTCATATTTTTTCTCACCACGATTCAGGAAAGCATAAAATTTTATACATACCTTCATTGTAAGTTGTATAATGTATTCGTACTGCTTACGAGTAAGAATCTTTACATGATTCCATCACTGTTTCCCTTGCTGAACATATATTGAAAATATACTTGCTGAACATATACTGAACATATACTTGCTGAACATTGTCTGGGCCTGTCTGCATAGCTGGCAATGGCTCATGGCTGCATTGTTTCATATGTCTGCTGATCCGTCTGGGTTTCCACAGCGCTATAAGTGCACAATAAAGTTTTGTAATGACGAAATATAACAATATTAACATAATTAAATCTGTCTTGATGTTTCGTATACAAGCTCGATCAGCAGAGTATTCCACCGACCAATACTACAATTTCGATGCATACCTTTTCACGAAATATTCTTTTCGATCTCCTGGTTGGTTCTGGCGACCAGCAATGCATTAGGATTTGCCTTTGAAACTCTCAAGTAGATGGTCGCGAGTCACCATTGTCAACGTCTTCGCTGTAGCGTGTTGAAATTGATATTTGATATGCATTTCCATTTGTAACAAGAGCTTACTAATATCCAATGACTGGGGGGAATTCATATTATTTTGTATAATTTAATTTTGCCAATCCGACACCACAAAATACTTTCACGTTTAGTTTCACCGAGCAAGATACACAAGCGGCTTCATACACATTAGTTTCTATTTGATTTTGAAACAATTGCACAACGGAATAACTAATATTCGTAAAAACACACTTTAGATACATCTTTTTAGATATAAAGTTTCTTTTTTGACTGTATTTCTTGCTTTGATGTGAATATATAAGCGAGTTAAAAACAATTAGAATTTTGGCACTCCTGTGCGTCAGCCATCTTCTCTGAAATGCTAACAGTTAGTATTACGTAATATTTAATCTATGACAATGTTTACAAAATGTGTACACATTTGAGACATGCGCAGAATGGACTGTAACCCAGCTTTAAATAAAGAGGAAAGCAAAGTTATTTTCATGCGAGAATTTGAAATCAGGTTATTTCGATCTCAATGTTTACACAGGGAGCAGAGGAGTCGAGTTTATCTAGTAAAACAATACAAACGCCATCTTACCTTGTTAATTGTAATACCTTTCATTTGAAATTGTCGTGAAACATATAAAGTTTATAAACATTGTATGATTTTGTATTCGTACTTCATGTAATCTCATGTAACAATTATTGTGGGCTCACATTTCGCTATCTCGGCCATTGTTCGTTAGCTTTTCGGAAAATACAACAACCTCGTTCCCAGAGTATTTGCTCTTGGGAAGCAAAGACCCTGGTGGACGCTGGTCACGTGACCCATAGAAAATTGATTGCCTCAGAGGGGGATGGAAAGGTCTCATATTACATGTTTCCACTTCCGCACTTCACACTTCGATTGCAAGGAGTGGCCGTGCTGCACAATAATCTTTGAGAATCATATATTCTTCAAAATTCTTGCTAAACTGGTTTCTGTTTGCCGTTTTAAATTATACAAACATGGTAAAATGCAGATGCTTGTACTAACAGACAAGTCAGCAAATCAAGCAACGAAAACGTATGACCGTATGGTTTGAAATATTTGCGTTTTTAATATTCTCTCGGGGTACGTTCGGGCGCAATATTTTTATTTCATACATACGTTCCTGTCCTGGCTCTGCCTCTGGTTCAGATATTTACAATATTCTTTAATATGCCATTGAATTGTTGTCATATAGAAAGGAAACGGTATAAATTTTGTAAAATAGAGGTATCAAAAGCGACTGACAGAATTGTTTGGAATCGACACTCGACAGTGCACTTTTTTGTCTTCACGACTACCTGTTTGTTGAGCCAAAATATTGCGCAGAATCTCCTGTAATAATTTATAGCTATCGCCATTCACCCTCCCACCCTGAATGCAAAGGAATGATATCCGAAAAGATTTAGCAAAGTATTTGTTATTATATCTGGTACGAAGTGTCCCTATACGATTTATCAGGGATATATATCTATATATACATAATTCATAAACTGTATATGCGCACCAAGTCTCGCTCATAGATTTACTTAATGAGTTTTATTAAGCCTTTTAAAGTTTCTATTGATACTGATAGATAGGTTGTTTGCTTACAGTTACGAAGTATCGTTTGGTGAAACTTCTAAAATTTCAATTACAATTACGACACAGTATAGGGGTATATACGATAAAGATTAAAGACTTAAAGTTGATTTAAATATTGATGACTCACAGCGGCATTATACAAGTCGAAAGAAGTTGGATTTTAAGTTGGATTATTCTTCAAATAATGCCTGGGCATTAATACCAATGCCAATGAAAGGTCTTTATAAGATTTATAATGTTTACTGCAATATATATGATATAATTTAGTCTAGTGCATATATCGTCCTAGATATTCAAGTTGTACCGCACGCACCGAGGAGTCTTGGCGTGTGATAACAGTATACTGTAGCTGTACTTCGACATATATCATTCTTGATCGTTGAGCTGTTTCAGCAATGTAAATAAAAGGAATAACGGGTTTTAATCCTGCGCTTACTGTAATTCACAGTCAAAACAGCACTATTGTTTTTATATACACAGTTGGCGATGTTCAGTACTTCTGTTGGGAAATCAAAGGATCCCGTTCAATAAATCCTTTGTTTTGAATATCGGACAGGATACATTTCAACTATAAACAACCATATCATATCGTTCGTTTTATATAAATACCGTTTGATCGATCAGTCGGTGTAGAAGATTTCAGATATGTATGTTTATACGGCGATCTGATGCGTGCTCACTAGCCAGGCGCGTGTGGAGTATATTTTTCCTTGCAAGTGAAATATGATCCAGCTTCTCGCTTGAAATGTACCGCAGCACTTATTATTGATGACATTCAATATAGCAGGAAATCTTGTCATGATGAGTACGAATTTAGAACAGTATAAATCATGTTTATTAATACATGTAAAGTGAAGTATACAGCACTAATGCATCTGGCGAATGTCAACTACTACATTCCCACCCCTCCCAGATTGACAAAACAACGCTAATTAAAAATCTGCTAGATTTTAGCAGATCACGTGACCAGCGTCCACCAGGGTCTTTGCTTCCCAAGAGCAAATACCCTGGGAACGAGGTTGAAAATACAAGTCTACGGTAATTCAAGGCAGCGGAGTATATTAATGCTTTAAAGTTGAAAATTCATATTTTGGTTTTATATTCGATAATTTTGATGAATAAATATGCATTTTTAATGCGAACATTGGGATTTTACAATGAAATATACTACAATTGACAAGGTAAGATGGTGTTTGTCTTGTTTTACTAGCTAAACTCGACTCCTCTGCTCCCTGTGATGTTTACTGATAAAAGGCAGTTTAGTTTTAAGAACATATTAAAACGTTTTGCAAACCGTTTGTGGTTACATTTTACATTAAATTGAAGCTTATATTACGTATAATAACATACAAAACATATGTATGTTTGGAAAATTGTTCATTTTGTAATTGAAACTGATACTTGGGGGGAATTTTTAATTTTAAAACTATTCCTAATAAAAGCACAAAATAGGAAAGTATTACAGAAGTGTAACTTGAGTCGGGTGCCTTTGTTGTTTTACGTCCTCGAAAATTTTAACTCGCTCCCGCCAATCCACGCCATCCTGGCTAGTACAGCCGGAAGTTTTTATCTGGTTTTGGTAAGTACAAAGTGCCGGTTGTACTAGCCAGGTGCCAGTGATTGATGACGAATCGCTTGTGAAAACGCGGACAAATACTTGCTTGAGTGAGACTTCCGGTATATCTTCCTATTCTGTGATAAAAGTATCACACTATCACGTTACCATGACAACTACTTTCAGTACATCATGTTTGGAAAACATAATGGTTTCGTTAGTAAGGCGAGGGTTTCTGCATGCATGTATTTTCTGGTCCTCGAGCCGTCGGCGCAAAGCGCCATGCAAGGGTACTAATTCCCCCCGACTATTTATACCCGGGGAAACGAAAGCATTAGCGAAGTCTAAAGCTCATCAATGATCGCGGGCGTGTGAGACGAAATCATTAGCGAAGTCTAAAGTTCATCAATGATCGCATCCTCACTGATCTCAAAAATATGGCTGATTGATTGTAGAAGTGGGATGAGCAAGATTTCAATTTTAAAAGACATATATTTGGAAAATCGTTTCGCACACAACAATCTTGAAGCAATTTTGTTTGAAGAAATGAAGAAGAATTGATTTACTATGGGAAATCGTGAAGTATACGACAACTTTGGTTTGAATATTTAATGTTTAGTATGTTTACGAATTTTGTTGTTTTAACTTTTTGCCTAAAAACATGAACTGTTTTCCTTTTCAACAAAGCTCTAAGTTTCATAAATTACCATTTAATTTGAGAAAAAATCTTAAAATGTAAAGGAGAACAAATTGATTTGAAGACTGAACTGAAATTACCTAACAATTTGTTTTATTTGTTATTTATTATCTTTTATTATTAGTTTATCGGTAAATGAACTTCAGTTGAATGAACATTTCAAAACATTTTACGAAGCGTTTCATGATCAAGTTAAATTCTACTACGTCATCAGGCACGTCACTACGGAGTCACATGAGAAGCCCGTGCGTGCGTCGCTGATCAGTGCTTGCAGCTTGTTGATCAGAACCCTTGTGTGATTTCTCCTCTTTGACTTTGCTGAAATTCAGAAGAATTTTGACGAGTAGGTAAGACATAACGGAGGCTTTCGTGGGATAAAAACCGCAAATATAAAACTTATGTGTGTATTTTAGTTCCAAAACAGATATGGCGACTGACAACACAGACAATGATGGCAATGATGCTGGGCGACCTATGGCAAAAGTCTCAGGACACAAATGTGCCACTTCAACAACCAGACTTTGAAGAATCCCAGCACTGGCGACGAGGCAAAAAGCGGCGCTCAAAAACGTCGTCCTCGAGGTCGCCCTCATCTTCAGAAGCCAGCTCGGGTTTCGAAAATGAGAGTCGGGGTCGTAACCGCCGAAAGCGAAGGTCACATAGCAAAACTCGGCTTGAAAATAGGGGCGAAACGACCAATTATGAGCAGGATAAAGTGAGCGTACATGTGCAAGACGATGATGATAATGTATCGGTCTTACTTCAAGATGGCGCCACAAATGACAAAACAAATTCAACCGATGAAACCCTTACGAATTTAGGGGAAATACTTGAAGATGTTGAAGCTACCGGCAATGATATTAACCCTAAACTGGCTACGATAGCGGAAAACCGATGAAATAAAAAACTAGCGCCTGAAAAGCTGACATTATTTCAAGAAAAATACAAGCGACCCGCCAATTGCACAACAGTATGCTCACTAACAGCAAACCCAGAAATCTGGGCAAAACGGATTTAAATATCTCGAAAATACAAGAATCGGTTCGGAAAGCTGCCCTTATATCTCTGCAAACAGCTCATTCTTTGACTAATACAAAGTCTAACGAGGTAGATATAAAACAGCTCTTAACACAGCAAGTTGATTCGTTAGCTTTGTTGGGCCACATAAGTTATGAGTTGACGTGCCTTCGCAGATACAAAATAAAATCCGTTTTGAAACCAGAATATGCTTGAAAATGTGTTGATGATGGCACGGAAAGTAAATATATGTTTGGCGATGATTTACCCAAACGACTAAAAGACGCTAAAGAGGTGAGCAATGTGGGGCTAGCTGTGAACACGAGCAATTCAAGAAACATCAAGTATCGGGCGCCAAAAAGCTATGACCAGCGAAATTGGCACCAAACACGTGGGGGGCATAATTACCATGCTGGCAATTCACGGTCGGATTTTTTCCAGAGAGGAAAATCGAACTAGAAGGGGGGAAAATGTGCAAAATACCAACCACCTCGCAAGAAATAATCGCTCAATTAAAGACAATAAATTTATCTGTTTCTCCAATAAGTAAATGGGAAATATTTATTCCTATTTTAAAGGATTATTTAAAACAATTTTGTGCCAGTTCAAAATCTGGTCGTATCTCAAATCATTTTTCTGCCTGGACAAGCATGACATCAGATAAAGAGATCTTATCTGACACTCGGGGCATGACCATTGAATTGTCAGAAATGCCAGCCCAACATCGCTTTGTCCAAACAAAATTTAACAGTGCAGAAACTGAGATCATTGAGACCGAAATCAACAAAATGTTGGGAAAAGAATTTATAGAACAAGTCGAACATACAAAAGATCAAATTATCTCAAACATTTTTACAAGACCTAAAAAGGATGGCACTCATACAGTGATCATTAGTCTCAAAGATTTCAATAAATATGTATCCTACTATCATTTTAAAATGGATTCCTTAAACACTATAGTCAAATTAGTTGATAACGATTGTTTTATGGCCTCAATATATTTCAAAGATGCCTATTATTGAATACCTATTCGGGAAAGAGACAGAAAATATTTGAGATTTTATTGGAATAATCCACTTTACCAGTTTACTTGCCTACCAAATGGGTTGTCGAGTGGCCCTAGAAAATTTACTAAGATCCTTAAACCTGCCTTGTCATCATTACGCATCAAAGGACACATTGTTTCCAGTCATTTAGATGATTTCTATTTACAGGGCAATACCCCTGAGGAATGTTGCTCAAATTTAATAGATACAGTGACACTTTTTACACAACTGGGCCTGTTAGTCCATCCTGAAAAGTGTAATTTCATCCCCTCACAGGGAATAGTGATTTTGGGTTTTATAATAAACTCAGTAAAAATGACTGTCAAACTGACACCAGAGAAAGCACTGGCCTTAAAGTCAGATTGTTATTTGTTTCTTAAAAAATGCCCTGGTAATATTGTAATTCGAGAAGTTGCTCAAATTATTTGGAAAATAGCATCAAGTTTTCCTGGGATCCTGCACGGACCTCTCTACTATCGACATTTAGAAAGGGACAAAATCTCAGCTTTAGCTAGGAAGAAAGGTAATTTTGATGCTAGAATGACACTCTCTAAAGAAAGTATATTAGAGTTAAATGGTGGTGAAACAAAGTAATAGATGCATTTAAACCCATTTCACATGGGAAACCTTCCCTAGTTATTACAACAGATGCTTCCCTGCAAGGTTGGAGTGCTGAATGTCAGAGTATAGCCACTGGTGCCGTGGATTATGGTCACATTTTGAGGCGAACGAACACATAAACTATTTAGAATTATTATCTACCTTTTTGGGCTCGAAAACGTTTGCAAAAACAAGACGTAACCTACATATAAGGCTAATGATAGACAATACGTCTGCAGTCGGCATTATTAACAACATGGGTTCAAGCCATTCTCCTAAATGTAATTTCTAGCCCATCAGGTTTGGAGTTGGTGTATTGAGAGGAAAATATGGAAAAGTGCTGCCCATATACCAGGGCGAGATAAATTATTGCAGGTTTTGGATCAAGAAGAAACGAAAAGGCATCGGAATGGATGCTAGATAAGCTACGTTTAGCCAAAGCATTAAAAGACTTAGATTACTCACCAAATATTGACCTATTTGCCTCAAGAATTAATAAACAATTTGATACATATGTTTCATACAGA